ACTTGGAGAATTATGCTTTTGTCATGTATCTGCTGTGCGAACAAGATTAAGCTCTTTAACTCGCTGACCCTCAACTCATCTGTAAAATGGGGATAGTAATGCCTAGCCTATCTGGTTGTGAGAACTGAATGAAATAAAAATGCTGAAACCCCTGGCACAGGGCACATAGCAAAGAGTACACCACAGGCAACCTATCCTAAGGGCGACCTTGGGGAAACCATGGCCCCAAGGAGGAGGTAAAACTCCTTAGCATAGCATGAGGCCTATGTTGACATGGTCCTGTCCCCTTTCCCTCCACTCATCGATGTGACCTGTACTCCAGCTGTACAGTTTCTTGAATATACCTTGATCTTTCATACTGCAATGCTGGATTTATACTGTTCTCTCTGGAAGGCTAACCCCGATCAAGTCCAACTAGAAAACTTCTATTTGCCCCCAAGATTCGCCACAGATATCAGCTCCACTGTGAAGCACATGCTGGAAGACAGTTCTTTGTGATTCTCTCACATTTTTGCATACCTCGCAAGAGAGGCACCAGCTGTATTCTGTTCTGGACTATCTCTTCAAGGGTGTTTGTATAGTAAATAGCCAGAGGAGATATAGTGTTTCCCTCTGGAGCAAAGGGTAGGCATGCTAACTGCCCATCATAAAAGACCGAAGTTCCTTAAGCTTAGGGTTCCTCTCCTGTAATGCAACCCACTGTACGTGCAGTTGACATCTGGCCCTCTTTGTGCTGCCCTGTGGGATTTGAGGCTTAGAGAACTGATGAAAAATTGCTGGTACTCTGGCTACTGCTATTGTCATGAATGATAAACTGTCCTTCATCTCTGTCACAGGAGTTTCATGTCCTCTACCAGTATCCATAAAATGGTGGCAGGTTGACCTGTTAGCCTGTAAACAGGGTAAAATCTTAGACCCTTCATTCTTGGTAACATGCTTCCTTCCCATTTTACCCCACTGTAGGAGTATAAATTGATCCTTAAGCTCTGTTTTCAAATTATCCTGCACATTGCAGACCTTATTGCAATATTCAGTATCTACATAATTTTCTTATAACTGTATCTGCAATATCTGTCAGTGCCTGGAATACTGGATACAGTACACTGGATACTCAGTAGTTTGTTGAATGAGGGAATGTGCCAGTGCTCAGCAGTTCCTATAAGACTCTTCCCATTGCTGGCATATATCCAAAGGGACACCCAGTGCTTGGTCTCAGTTCTAAAAGTCCTGTGCTCTCTTCTGCTACAAACCCTTGATCACTTCCCTTTTCCTGCCCCAGAATGATCCCTTCCATTCTGGTGCCTGCCGAGTTACTTCTGCCTCCTGTTTCTTGACTCTCTTCTTTTCTCTTGAAAATTGTGTATTAGTAACAAATCCTCACTTGAAGAGTCCCCAGGACCTTTCTTCTTAGTATGTACCATCCTAGACAACTACCAGAGGTGGAAAAAATTCACTTTCTATTATGCAACCTATTAGTTATGCATTGTGTTACAAGCAAATTCAGATAAATATGTCCTCTGTATTTTAATTCAAACCGGTGACAATAAATGTAGAAGAGACAAGATCTCCTCCAAGTACAGGACTTTGCAGTGCTCTAGCAGAGAACTCTCTCCCAATTGTTTTCCATCTATTTAATCAGTATTTCTGTATAGTAATTCATTATGTTGTCAGCCAACAAATATATATTCAGTCCCTCTTAATTGAAAGGTCGTGTCCTTCTCATTGTGAGGATCACACAGATGAGTCAGATATGATTTGTGCCCTTAAAATGCTAGTGATAAAATACGCATAAGTTATGTGCTACAAAAATTCTGTAAGGTTTCAGACAAAATAACATCTGTGCTGCCTCTGAAAATATAGGTAAAATTTGAAGGGTCTCAATTACAGTATTGGGGTGAAGGCTAAGGAAAGTATTCTAGGCTTAGGGGAGAGCTCAGAGTTAGGACAATTCAAGTGCTGCTGGGAAATCACTGGATTGTTTACCTTGGCCTGCGTGTTGAATATGCACAGGAAAAGATTGACTATAAATTTGAAATGGTAGATTGGGGCCAGATTAGGGAGCCGTTCAGATGAAGGAGTTTGTTGTTTAATGAACACTTCAACATTTTACAGGCAATTGAGGGGGCAGTGAAAATTTTTTGATCAGAAAACAAACTTGATCACAGGCAAATTAAGCTGGTAGTAACAATAAGAATGAATTGGAGCATGGAAAGACTGGAAGATTTTTGGGAAGTATATTGAGGGTCCATTTTAATACCATGGCTCAGGTGAGAAGTCCTGAGAACTGGAACATGGGCAATGGCAAGAAAAACTGAGTGGAGAACAGATTTTGAAAAGATTTCAGAGAAAAACTTGGCAACATGGAGCCCCGGAGTGGGAGTGAGTAGATGCTGCAATCAAAGATTATTTCGCATAATCCTTTTAACATTCAATCAACATTTCCTCATAAGAATATCATGAGATGTGGGTGGTCGAATGTCCTATTGAAATCAAAATGTTTTGTTTTTCCATTTTCCTTGACCTACCCTGATCTATGGTATTCTTAGCAAACATAGGCTTCTGCCCCATCATTGTCATCACTACCTTTCCTATGAATCTACAACCTGCTTTTTATTTATTGTAGTAAAAAATACATAATGTAAATTTACTCGTAACAATTTTAAGTGTACAGTACGTATTATGAATTATATCCACGTTATTGTACAACAGATCTCTAAAATTTTTTCATCTTGCATAACTGAGGCTCCATACCCATTGAACCACAACTCCTCGTTTCTTCCTCCCTTCAGTCCCTGGGCAACTACCATTCTACTTTCTGTTTCTATAAGTTTGATTACTTTAGATACCTCATATCAGTGGAATCATGCATTGTCTTTTTGTGATTGGCTTATTTCACTTAGCATAATGTCCTCAAGTTTCATCCAAGTTGCAGCATATGACGAGACTTCTTTCTTTTGGAGGTCTGAATAATATTCCATCATATATATGTGTATGTATATATCGTGTATGTACATGTGTATACACACACACACATATATAATCACATTTTCTTACCCATTCAGCTGTTGATGGAAATTTAGGTTGCTTCCACATCTTGGCTATTGTCAATAATGTTGCAATCAACGTGGATGTGCAAATATCTCTTCAAGATCCGATTTTCAATTCTTTTGGTCATGTACCCAGAAGTATGATTACTGGATCATATCATAGTTCTATTTTTATTTTTTTGAGGGCCTTCGATATGGTTTCCAATAGCAGCTGCACCATTTTACAATCTCATGAAGAGTTACCACCCACTTCAGACTGTTTCTGATGGCAAATATTAAGCTCATCAGTGAGTGATTTCTGAAATCACGTGAAGATCATAGCATGTGATCCTCATTCAGGGCCTGGCTGTCTAACCAACATAGTAGGATCTCAATAAATTTTTTTGAATGAAAAATTAAACAACCAAACTTTTGCTGTTTTATCATTCTCTATAATTTGTAAACATATACCAATGGTCCTGTGATTCCATCGAGCCAGATCTTGAGGCCAGAGGATTTGATCATTTGGTACAGCTCCATAATTGATGGGTAAAGTGATGTGATTTCTTTCCTCCCAAAGTCGGGCCAGAGACTTGAATTTATTTAAAGAAAACTGCTTCCTTTCTTTAAAAATCTACCCTCAGATTTCAGTGCTAGAGGCTCAATTTTTTTCAGGCTGAAAATAATTGTCCTTGTTTAGAATATGAAAGCAAAACAGGGCTTTGGTAGTTCTTTATCTCAATGAGATTCATTCTTCAAGGAGGTAGCTTTAGGAGGTTGAACACCTAGGCACTTCTACCTTTCAGGACCAGCTTAGGAATTATCAAAGAAGTCATTAGAGTTGCCACCATCGTAATCACCAAACCAATTAATCAGAGTTGACTCTTAAAAACTCGAATATTTCAAAATTAAGCCCACTCCAAAAGAACAAAGATTTGTCATTATTGGGAATATTTACTTACTAAATAATGGCAACTATTTATAAAGCTATGCACTAGGTACTTTCCATGCTTTATAACACAGAAGCCATTGATATTAGACTTACTTCCATTAAATAGATGACTTTTTGAGAGTATGAATAATTTGTCTATGTAACACTAAAATTGGTCAGTCATACATCAAAACCCATGCTCTTAACCACTGCAGTGGTTACCTTACTATATGCAAGGTATTGTGCTGAAAGCTGTGGGGCAACACACTGTGAAGTAGCTTACGCAGTCTAGTACATCACATCACACAAGTATTACACATGTAAGAAAGTGTAACTGTCTCAGAAGACATGTACTGTGTTATTTAAAGTAGGTTATTACTTCTGAAGCCAACAGGAATAGGTATTTAAAAAAAAAAAGGAAAGAAAGGAAAAAAAGAAAAAGAAAAAAGGCAAGTTTAAATTAAGAACAGAAAGGATCGTATAGTACAAAAAGCAAAACACATATCAGAAGATATGGATTGTTTCCCAGTTAACACTTACTAATTAGTGACCTTGGGTATACTGCAAATTATATATGGTATAATTATATTATCAGAGTAAGTTTATTGCTGCTCAAGTGGGACAGAATATAGCAGAAAAGTTCGATAGGGTTGTTTAATCACATGACATTATATATGTATGACATATATTATGTATATTATTTTATATTAGATGCAATGCCATGTTCTTCACTGCAATTCAAGGTCCAAAGCCATTTTATAATCAAAGTCTCCTGTGATTAATTGAAATGTTAAAGAAAAGGCAAAGTGGCAGTGAAAAAAAGTCCTTCCCTTGCTTTTTCGCTTCTCCCCCCCCGCCCGACCCCCCCCCCCGCTTTTATTCTTCTATTTATTCAAGAAAGAGAGCATTAAGAGCATCTTATTAGCAATTCTTATCCAGGAAATATTAGCTCTTAGAGTCGATTGAAAAGAAGCTGGAGAAGGGGGAGTCAAGAGGTAGAATGTCATACGATAAAAAAAAAAAAATCTAGTTTAGGGGCAGATAGGAATATCATTTTGTGTAAATGTGATTTATCGGATATTTAAAACATCCTTGTAAATGTTTCATTTTATTACTTCTAAATATGTTCCCTTTCCACAAACATTTATTCTGATGCTCTGAAATAGTTCAAATTCATGTAAATGTTAAGGTTTTGGAGGTAATGTAGCCAAGGGTTTCACTGTCTTACACGAAATTAAATGGAAATTGTTAAGTAGGCCGATCTTTATTACAGCAAGCTTTTAGGGAGGGTAGCGCTGCCCTCTCCACAGATATTCTAAAATTGTTGATTTCCCCATCCCCTTTTTTTCATAAGTTTTTTTGAAACATGCCAAAGACAATGTGTTGATGTCTTAGTGACGAAAGCTAGAGTTCTGTCAGCACTTTTCATTAAAGTTAGATTTTAGCCTATGCCTTCATCATGTGCCATAGATTTAGTTTGGGATTAGCAAATGCTAATCCACATGTAAAGCTCTCTATGATCAACACATCTTTAGCCATCTGATTACATTTGTTAATGTACCTTTTAACTCCTCTTGTTATCCTTAATTTTAAGCGATGTGAACAAATTCACATTTGTGTCTTTCCTAGTCACTTCGACTTCTAACCAGGTAGTCTATCAAAGCCCAGTCCCCCAGAGCAAGCTCAGATTATGTAGAAATCTCCTAATGTCCCCCTCAACTCTTAAGACAGGGCCTTTTGTGTGCAAAGTTCTCACGACTTATGGAACTTCACTAACTTGAGAAGAGATGATAAACCGTCTCCCCAAAAGGTAATTGTTCATTTCAAGGCACTCTTCCGGAGATGCTTTTAGGCCAGTGCTGCATCTGATGGAGGCAAGGAGGATAAGAGCTGTCCCCAAATGTGGGGCTGATCACTCCAGTCCCGCTGATAAATCTCTGAAGTGGGAAATAGTGTTCCCTCCACAGGGCCTCAGCGTGTGAGGGAAGGAGGGGGATGGGCAGGGGCCATCAGGGGAGAAGTCTCCGGCCTTTCCACGTCTCTCAACACCATCCCTCCCCACCCCGCCTCCTCCTTGCCCGAATCCTAAACAAGCCGGCGGGAGAGGGGCCCCGGGGGCAGGCTGGGCCGGGAGGCTCGGCCTTTGTGGCTCTGTCCTCGACGGTGGCGGGGAAGCAGAGGGGGCGGGGACGCGGGCCAGAGACCCTCAGCCGGGGCTTGACCCCCAGGTGCATTGTCCGGCGGGGGCCCGTCCTCCCCCACCCCGGGGGCCGCGACCCGGCCGCCACCGGGCCCCCTCCCAGCGTCTCCCTCCGCCGGCCGCGCCGACCTCGCGGTCCCCAGACCAGGGGCCAGATGTAGAAAGTAGTCCCCAGGCCGGCAGCAGCGGTGCTGTCCACTCCGCCGCCCCCGCCTCCTCCAGCCACCGCCTCACTCCGCCCCCAGGCCGGACTCTCGGGGCCCCCCGCCTCCTTGGAGCGGGTGTCCGTGCGCCGGCCTCGCCGCAACCTCAGAGTCCAGGGCCGGCCGCCCCGCGCCACGCCACGCCACGCGGGTGCCCGAGCGGGAAGCCCAGGCGGTGCGTGTCCAGCCGCGGCGCTGGGGGCTGCGGAGGCGGGGGACGGCAGGCGGACAGCGGCTGCTGGGCGGCCGGAGAGCATGCCCGCGCAGCCCCGCTGAATGGCGCCTTCTCTGCGACCCCTCGCCCGGCCGCGGCCGCCAGGGATGCTGCTGCTGCTCCGCGCGCTCCTGCTCCTGCTCCTGCTGCTCCTCGGCTCGGTTCCAGGTGGGCGCGCTTTCTTCTGCGTTTGTGGGGCTTGAGCGGCGCGAGTGGGCTGGGGAGAGAGGAAACGCAGGGGGTGCGTGTTGTGTGTGGGGGGCTGGGGTCCTCCTCGGTGGCGCTGACCACCGGTCACTGTCCCCTCCTTGCAGCTAGTCGGGAGCGGCTGCTGGAGGCACGACTGGCCCGCCGGCGCTGCAGGAGCACGGGCAGGACTGTGGGCACCTCTCCCAGAGTCTGCCTCTCTCCGCTGCGCTCCCCCGGCCGCAGGATGCAGGGCCCGGACGCCTGCTGTCCACTCTCGCCCTTTTCTCCCCGCGCCATTGTCCGCCCTCCGGCCGCGTCCTGGCCTCTGTGGCCAGCTACTGCTCCACGCTGCCCGCCCGCCGGGGCTGCTGCGGCCGCACGTGGCTTTATTTATATTGTTTCCTTAGTGGCAGCCTCACCACGCAGGGGGCGCGGCGATTCTGCGCGGCTTCCCGGGTTTGCAGTTGGGGTTCCCCCACGTTCGAGGGCGGGGGAGAGGGTAGGTGAACTCAGCGCCCAGGTCGGCACCCCTGGTCCCCGCCCCCCAACTTTCTTGGAGCAAGGAGGAGACAGGAGGGGTGGAATTGGAGAGAAGAGAGTTGGAAGTTGCGTGGCGGATTCGTGCCCGGGAGAGGAGGGAGAAAGGTACCCGAAGCTGAGAAGGAAGGCATCTAAATAGGATTTATTTCTCGCAGCCAGGTATTTTGGGGCAGGGCCTGAGGTGTGTACGAATCTGAAGATTCCTCTCAACTCCAGGTTAGCCTTGCGCAAACTTGGATGAACTAATTTTGCTTTTCATCCGTGTTGGTTTATCCTCAAAAAGATAAAAAATGTGAAGAGGATGTGGTTGTTGGTGGTGGAGAGGGTGTTCAGGGGAATGGGTTTATTTATTTACAGGTTACAAACCCTGGGATTTCTTTTTTTCTGGAGGAGTTAGTTTTCTGTTAGCATGAGAAAAGGATCAAAGTCAGATGTGACTCGGAAACACAATGGGCGCCTTCCGGAGTTGTCCTCCCAGTGCGAGGCTGTTAGGGTCGCTCGCGTCGCCCTGGGCATACATTAGAAGTCGTCAGCCCGGGCGTGGGAGCGTGACTAGCGTGTGAGGTTATGGGGGACCTGCCTTGATGAGAGACAGAGACCAGTCCCGGGGATTTGTAATCACGGATTCAAAACAGTCAGAAGAAAGATGAAATGTTTTCCTCCAAATCCCTAACACTCCACTGGGCCCCAATCAATATGCAAGACTTTGGCTGGCCTTTGCGCTAAATGCAGGAGGTGACACAGGGTATTAGGTGGTCAACGGATGCTTTATCCTGGCGGAGACCGGGGGCGATGTGTATGCTTAGGATAAAGCCCTTCCTCTGCTCTGATAAAAATGTGTACTGGTTGATTAAGCAATCTCCTATCCCTATTAGACAGTAAGGACCAATTAGTCACGCATTTTTTCCAACGGTTGGCAGCTCTAAAAAAATGAAATAAAAGTTTCCTAATCCGATCACCCACCGAGTACAAGCAGCAAGAGTTACCAACTTTTCAAAGTCAACTCTTTGTCCTTTAAATACCTACCTGACTCTGCAGAAATTAAGTAAATGGGTCTCTTTCAAAGAGAGGAGACAGTCCTTGCTATAAAAAGGCAGATATAAAAATGCAAACTTGTAATTTGTCACAAAAGATAAATGCGCTTCCCAAAGGAGTAGGTGCCAAGGGTTCCAAAAACACTTCAAGGGACAAGGAAATAAACTTGCTTGTTCACAGACTTGGAATTTTGCTAATGATTTCTTGTAAAATTAGACTTTTACGACTTACTCTGTTCAAGATCTTTTTTGACAAGCTTGTAAAAGTAGCAAACAGCTTGTGCTCATGAGTTCTCCTGATGATTTTGAAACTAGCAAGAAACTTGAGAACAGAATTCTTACAAGGCATAGAAATTATTGACATCTTCCCTATGCTTTTAGTGTAGATGTTGTACAAAGGTGATTTCTCTGATTTGTTAGAAAGGTTCGCGGAAACTTAGATTGGTCTATTAAGATGTTTGTGAATTAACTAATATGGTTTGTTAAACTTATTTTATTACACCCTGAATATGTTTTACAATTATATGTTAAGAAATGTATTTATACCTATAATTCTGGATATGCCTTTTCTCCTTTTTCCTTATAGGAGTGTGTTGCTTTAGTGAACTGTTTTTTATAAAAGAACCACAGGATGTAACTGTCACAAGAAAGGAGCCAGTTGTGTTAGATTGCCAGGCTCATGGAGAAGTTCCCATTAAGGTCACATGGTTGAAAAATGGAGCAAAAGTGTCTGAAAATAAACGGATCCAGGTTCTGTCTAATGGCTCTTTATACATCAGTGAGATGGAAGGCAAGCGAGGGGAACAGTCTGATGAAGGATTTTATCAGTGTTTGGCAATGAACAAATACGGAGCCATTCTTAGTCAAAAAGCTCATCTTACCTTATCAAGTAAGTGTTTATTTAAGTTCTTGATTATCTGACATTTTTCGTTGCTACATTCTGATGACTTTTTGCTTCATTTATAACTAGCCCTAAGAAATCACACAAACATTAAGAATTTTCCTGCAGATATTAGATGCTAACTAAGGTATGCAGAAAAATCTGAGAAAAATAAATTGAATGAGTGATTGAGAACAAAAGTGAAATTAGGTTTAGAACACCAAAACCTGTAGAGGTGGCTTTATATAAATTTAATTGTTTCACACTATGAGAAGAGTTGAGTATAAAAGTTTGGCCAACACACCAATAGTTGTTCTAAAATTTCATCTTTTGTAAATTAGTAATTAAAAATTTAAAACCACAGTGTATCTTTCTGCTTTGTAGATGGCCCTTGAGTGCTAAATCTTTCTTATAGACCAACCTTCCATTTCTCTGATTCCTTTAAGATCACCCATGTTGCTTTTAATTGTAAGAGAGGGCATTGGTCAGTAACTCTCAAGCCTTTGAAGTGTTCCTAGTCTTTTCCTGCTGGGAGAGAAAGAGATTAAGGCCATTTCCATATTATGCCTAATGGACTTAAACCAGATCTGCCCACTTTTTTCCAGTTGTCTTAAAGTTTGCTGTCTAATGATTTCTTTTGTATTAACATCCCGATCCGATCAACCATTTGTCCACGTGATCCATTGCTTGATGGTAGACCTGATGGCTGTTGAGTGTAAAGATGGGCCTAGGGGAGATAGGGAACTCTTTGTCCCCACTGAGGCTTTCCACTTCTTTAGGTGATCAAACTCACAGTGCAGCACTCAACATTACCACAGACCATTTAAATTTTTAAAACAAAACACAAAACTGTCTTAGAAATAGTTTCGCAGGCATCCTAGCTACATGCTTTTGTTGATCCACAAAAAGATAGATTTTGTACTATATCTACAAGTCTGTCATTTACAAGATAAACGCTAGGAAGAGGGAGCTCTTGAGATAAAGGTGAATCTTTAGGAAACAGTTTCTTTAAAGTCTACACAGTTGAAATTCAGGAAGCAATTGGCAGGAGTTTCCTAGGTGACTTTATTGTAATAGTCCATGGCCATATTTATGTCACCCTCATATTAGCAATTTATTTTATATTTACAGTAATGATTAATTATAGAAAATAAATTATAAACAAAGATTTATATATATATAAATATATATAAATGTCAGAAAAATAGGCAAGTTTTCAATTCTAACTCTCTTCCCCCCAAGAATAGCATAAACCTGAGAGAATTTCTGCTAAACTTTATTTTTTCTTGCTGTAGTCATTGGCCAATAGTCGTTTTTATTCTTGTTGAGTAGTGTTTTTTCTGTGCAGTACTGCTTTTTATACGTATGTTCTCTTTACTTAATTTTTGTCTAATGTAGAATTGTTTCGGTGAGTTGTAATTATTTCACTTCTTTGGGTTTGAGGAATCTTAGGTTTTTATACCCAGGAACTGTAATTGATATTACCTTGTTGGAGAGGGGAGGGGCAAGATGGAAAGGTGGAGGGGATGATGGGCTTTGAAAAGATGAAGCATTTGTCATGACCACACGTTATTTCCAGGACCTCCTTGGAAGCCTGACAGGATTCTAGGGCATCCAGAACTACTTTGAAAGCACACAAAGCTTTCAGATTTAATAAATAGTCTGAACAGTGTAACAAATGTTAGTAACAGTGAAATAAATGTTAGTATTGTCTGTACATTTTTGTATCTTTATAAAAATTAACAATAAATATTTAATTAGATGTGAATCATTTTGAAGACTCTTGTAATGAAGTAGTTTTCATATTTTAAGTATAAAAAACTTTCCAGTGAAACTATGTAGAACATTGCTTTGCTATTAAATATCCACTGTAGTCATAGGGACCACACTTTTCATATGTACACATTTTTTTTTTTTTAGCTAAGCAATTGGATTCAGTGTTATAGATTTAAAATAAATGTTTAGATTTTTCTTTAGAAGTATGAGATTTCTCAGAGAGTCTGAATTCACAAAGTTAGTTCTGATATCTAAGAAGCAGTGTCCAATGATACAGGCTTAAATGACTTTATGCTGTGTTCAGGGTAAAGATGTAATACATATTAAACAGGAAGATGAATAGGCATTAAGTGGACATTCTGTTGTGCGGTGGTTTTTTTTTTTTTTTGTCTTAAGCTGGTTCTCTCCTAGTTATTGATAGCAGCAGGGTGCAATTATGTTCTTTTTACTTTCTGGTCAAAGATGTTGTCAGCAAGCATATCTTTTGGTTCAGAAGTGTAATAATACAGCACCTGGAAATCTAAAACTTTAATCTGTGCAAGTTTTAGATTTTTAACACACAAGCGATCAAGTCTTGGTTTCTAAACTTAGGAACTAGAAGCTGAAAGTTGCACTCTAGGCAAGAATTCCATTATTCATGTGTAAATTAGGAATTCACAAGGTTAAAAGGTTAGAAACTGGCCAGGATGAGGTTTACCCTTGTGATAAAGAGCAGATGACCCTCATTCATTGGCCAAAGCTTTCATGTAGCTCTTCTGCAAAGTTAGTTATTGCCATGAATTGTTCTTGAGGAATGCAGAAATTCAAATGTGAACAGGCCTTTCCTTAAGTGTCACCATGGAGCCTTATCTCCCAAGCACATCAGAGCCTGCTTAGGGGACAAGGTTCCTCCCCAAAGGCCTGGAGGCTTTGCTTTCCTGTTGTTCATCCAAGCACAAAAGAATTTGTCCAACTTAGTTTTTCTAAGGCATCCCATTTTTAAAGGAAAGTATAGGGTTAAAGTAATATTTAGGTTTTTTTAGAAAAGGTAATCTTTTTTATTGATAGCTATTTTAGCTGTTTTACATTTTCATGTAATTGGAATAGAAAGGGGAGTGATGTGGGAGGCCCTTTTTCTAGTTGTATACAATAGTAAGAATAGCAGATTAAACTGTTTCCTATAAATTTTAGTATTTTATGCTTTTGGCAAATCAAATTTTCACTTTTATGGACGCTAAGTCTTCACTATGTAAATAATTTAAATGTCTTAGGAGTAAGAAATAATCTATGGACATCTTGACGTTTCTTGCATTCTTAATGTTGAAATAAGTAAGATAAATTTCATAGCAAAGCATTAGTGTGGTAAAAACAGTCTCATATTTCAACAAGTTTAAATTAAGATAAGAGACATTTGAGAGAAGTAAAGGAGGAGGGGAGTTGTGTTCTGTGATGTGTAAAGGACTGGCTGTAAGCTAGTGATTGAACAGGAAGCTAGTTGTTTATTTCTTTTCCTTAAAAGGTGGAAATTGAAGTCATAGGATAGAAGGAAAGAGAACATAAAGCTGGCTTATATTTCTTAAGTTTTTCAGGACTGTTCGCTTGGGTGAAAAATAATTTTTTAAGTGAGCATTTGTAGCTGGAAGACCATAGGAATTATTGTAACTTTATGATGGAATTTTTTTTTCACCAAAATTTTGAGGTTAGTTTTGGCATCCATAAAGTTGTTGGGGTGGAGGAGGGGTCCATTTCTATAACTTTACATAGCAATAGTCGTTTCCTTTAAAAGGATATTGATTTTTTTTCCCCATGAATAAAATTTTTATTACTTCAGTTTAAATTGAGATTAAACTTGAGGGTTTTTTGTATGTGTGTATATGAGTTAATGAAAGACTGTCTTGTGAGTGTGGTTTCTCTCTTAAAGAGTAATACATAAATTATAGCCTAAAGTTGATCTTAAAATGAAAAGTTAAAATATATTGAAAATATTTAAAGAGTCATGTTAAGAAAGAGAGTAGGTGGTCTATTGAAAAGAGAAAGATAAGAACTATGAGACTATTAGCCTAGATTTTGGGTTTTACTAATGATCCTGGAACCAAGATCTTGCTACATTGTACGTTTTGTTGAGATTTGTACACCCTGTAAAGGATAGCATCTTTTACCTCTGTGCATTTTCACTTCAAATCAAGCTGTTAAGTTACCTGCCCTAATTCAGGAGTGCTAACACAAAAAGTAGAAGTCATTTTATTTTGGAAAAATAAGACAAAACTGAGATATTTATATCAATCTGCCTGTAGGTAAGGTTCAGATGATGCATCGTGAGATCCAAGAAAAAATCATCTTTAAAGAGAGGGGGTATGGCTCAAAAATATATGTTTAAATTAAAAATTGAAAAAATTGACCATCTTAAAATTGCCTGAGCTGACTCAAGGAAGTAAAAGCGCATATAGTTCTACAGTTGTATTTACAATAACACCTGAAGATTCTTAGAGTCTGTCTACTTAAAAGATTTATTAGGTACCTGATAATCACTGGGTGATGGGACCAGTTTTTCTCACTTTGCCCTAATTAGGATCGTTTCTCATTTTCAGAAATGTGTAATACTATCTCACTGTTTTTTCAAAGTTGTTGTATTTTTTTATTTTTTAAAAAAACAAGGATTCACTGAGGGGTAGAATTATAATTTGCTTCAAGATTATATATACAAACACACACGATTATATT